GAGATAAAACATGTCATTCCCGGTATGCTAAAGGAGTTATCATATTGTAATTTGATAAATGTCCACTCAAAGAATCTCGTAGCCATAGTGAGAGTATACGAATATAGCATAGTTGGTTCACTTTGAAGCTAAGAAATTTTGAAATCGAAGAAAACTTATGTGATCATAATCGAATAGACTACAAATCAAGTTCAAGATCACACTATGCTAAATTGACATGAGGACTAAATTGTGTTGTAACCATACTTGTGAAAGGTAATTACGGATTGATTAATCCTCTTAGAGATTAGGTAGTCATGATGTCTTGTTAGAGATCAATCTTGATTTATGTATCTAGAGATAAAAGAGGTGTCTTTTATTCTTGATACATTGTTAACATATGTAGGAGCTTATTAAGTCATACGTATAAGTTTAAATATTCACATAATAAAAGAAATACAAATATGTTGGAAAAAGTTTTCTAGTTTATAAAATTTCTATTTTGAAAAAGTTTCCTAAAATAGAAATTTTTTTATTTTAGAAATCAGTTTTCTAATTTGAAAGTCGGTTTTAAATTTAGAAGTAAGTTACCTAAAAAAAGAAATTAGTTTTCTAATTTAGGTTTAAGGATAATTTAGGAAATTATTTTCATAACATGGGCTCCATTAAAATATTTGACCCAATTTATTTGGATGGTCCAAATTAATTTATAATTAATTGGGTCCAAGAGTTTAGGCTAATATGCTTAATTTAAAAGCCTACAATATATTTTAATAGAACGGTAAACTTAAAACCTATTGGATAAGGCTCATGGTTTACAAGGATAAGATTAGTCAAAGCTCATAAAGGCAACATTCCGTAACCTACTAGGAGATGTTATCGCCCCTTATATAAATAAAAGTGAGAGAGGCAACGATATGTGATAAGAAAAGAAAAAAAAATGGCATAAGCTAGAAAAAGAAAAGAAAAATGTTTTCTCCCAAAAATCTCGATCGTCGTATCTCTTTTTATTAAAGCCAATAGCCGACGTAAATTATCCTATAGGATTTGTAGAGAAAAATTAACTACACGAAGGATTAGAGCTAGGATTTTGCAATTTATGTAGCTTTACTTGTGGGTGTTTGAGCTGCATGAATTATGAGTAGAGGTCGAACACTTGGATGACATCTTTTCGCATAGGTAGTTTACGTGTTACAAGAGGTACACGCTTACTTTAATTATTTATTCATGTATGTATGATTAGTTGATTCAATCGTTTGATCTTGAGAGCCTTAGATGGAGGAAAATTTTTGTTTTATTCCACATCTCCATAAGATACATGATCCTTCAATTACAACTCCAATGTTGAAAAAAAATACTCTTTTGTATGAAGCTTTTATTAGTTGTTTTTATACTTAATATCAATATGCTAGATCATTCAAAATTTCTTTTGAATTGCCTTTTCTTTTCTTTTTTCCATTTGTTTTATTCAATCTTTTTTTTTATTATTATTATTTGAGAAACATACAATATGATTATCTCTTAAAAACTCAAAATAATTATACTAAAAATAATTTTCCTAACTTTAATTGTGATGGATGAAAAAAGGTGGGATAAGAATAAGCATGGTGAAAAATACAAAAGAGCACACAAAGCTTATTGAAGAAATAAACAAGTGTTTTGACTTAGCAAACAAGGTCTTTATCTTTTATTAAAATTTTTAACTCTATTATGATTTTCATGGATTGGTTCATTTTTTGAATGAAAAAATATATTTTTGATCTCTTTACATGCTTTTATTATTGATTTGAAATCAAGAGATGTTTATTTGAAACCTTTATAAATTGATCAATTACCAAAATATATCATGCAAATGCTAAGGTATGTATTTGATTCATGATCCCATCCAACCTTTTTTTTTTCCTATAAATTAATCATATTTTTCAAACCAAATTAGAGCTTATTAGTTGGAGCAAGTTAGATTTTAGATGAATAAAAACCATTTTTTATATATCTTTTCATAGACAAAACTTTATCCTTTATTGTCTTACTTTTTTTTTAATAAAAACCTAGACTAGGATCACCCTCATACTAGAGGTAATTTAAAATTCATGAAGTTGAAAATGTTCTCCTAAGAAAGAAATGATAAGAGAGACGATGATGATTCATAAAAGATTTTTACTAAAAAAAAACCTTACCAATAACTTTAAAATGAAAAGAACATGAAAGAAAAGAAAGATAGCGGTAAAACAAAAGAAAGTGTTATAAAAAATGATCCATATCATGATATGAAGTTAGAAAAAAAGGGTTTCAAAATCCAAAAGATAACAAGAGTAAACATGAAAGAAGAGTTGAGATTGGATAAGATCAATCGTAAAACAATTAAAGTTAAGAAAGAATGCCTAAAGAGATCTCAATTAACGATTGAGTGATCTTGAGTTTTTATATCCTCGAACACCTCCTCAACTTTTTATATTCTTTATTCATGAGTGAAAGGTTTAGCCTACATTATCGCCCTTAACATGCCCTTTTGATTAAAGATAACTTATTTATAAGTCTTTAGCTTAAAAAATATTATTTTAAACAAAAACTTGGCATGCTTGTGCATTGTGAGTCATATCTATGACATCGAATTATTATATTTTTATCAAATAACTAGAGACAACAAAGAAACAAAATCATCATTTATAATCACGAGTTCCATATTGTATTAAAATTGTTTTGCTTACTTTCTCGTGAAACCGCAACTATTGAGTCCTCGTCCTTTTAAAGCCATGATCATAGGTTTCATATGATTTTAAAATTGTTTTACTTATTTTCTAGTGAAATTGCGATTGTTAAGTCCGTGTTGTTTCAAATTCATGGCCACATGTTCCATATAGTTTTAAAATTATTCTACTCATTGGTGATGGCCCCATAAGAGAATTGCATAAGGAAGATGATCGAGTAGGTATAGATGTGTAACTTCGAATACTCGATAGGGCGCATCCAAGCATGGAAAAAGGGTTTTCGGAATGATCATGAGAAGGGTTTTTGAAAGGACATGAAAATGATTTTTCATGTGCATTTCACGTTAATATATTCGGATCATACATGGATTAACTTAATGAGTCGTTGCTCATCTAGTTTCTTATGGTGTAGGCATTACGGGTAATAATAGCAATATTCACCACCGAGCTGATTATCGAGGGATGCATGCGCCATGTGTATTTTGGATGTGGCTTCGACAATAAAATAGGCCTCCTTCAAGTAACCATTTTCTTAATGGTCGGTGTTATAGTTTATGTATTGGGTATGATCGATTTATTTTATGCAATAGTTAAAGTTATGAACAAGTGAACAATAGATGAGAATGCGATGTAAATAAACAAATAAGTCATTTTTGTAGTATATGACATTAAGTTATTTTGTATGTAAATAGGCATAGTCGATATGTAATCTAAACGTAAAACAAAATAGTATTAGTGAAATAACTTAATTATGGTTAGCATTAATTTTTTTTAGTTAACACTTTATTTGTCAATGCCATTGCTAAAATGTGATCACTAATTAATAAGCAAAACAATAATAATAATAAGAAATGGTAATTAAAGTGAATAAAGGAGATTAAGTATCTAATAATGGGTAATTAATAAATAAATTTTTACAAACCAATAGAAAAGGAATTTGAAAAAATCGAGCGTCATAGATCAAGTTCTTTTAGTCCAAGTAACCTAAATAAAATAATAAAATGTAAAAAATTTATAATGTATTTTGGAACTGAATCGGAGAATCTATCTATCATTTGTAGATTTTCGCGAGCATAATCCATACTTGGTAATGTCATAGAAAAGACACGAGTGCCTTGTTAGCTTTTATTCATTGCATTTCGAATGTAGGTTAAGGACGATAAGATTCTTGACGAAGTCTTAGGTTATGGGGTGTTATAAATACCATAAATAGTGAAATGAATAATGTTGTAAATAGTAAAAATTCATTTGTTTTGGTGTTTTTTGTTAATTGTTAATGAGCTTATATATTATTTTGACTAATTGAGTACCGTTTATTAAAATTGAAAATTTATCTAAGCCAATAGATAATCTTCTTCACTACTTGAGTTATTATTATCAATTTTTTTTCGATAACATTATCACTCATCCTTACCATCCATACTTACCGAGTAAAACCCTTTTCGATTTAACAAATTGTACTTATTTAGCTGAAATAAAAAATATTAGAGCTCATTTGATTGATTTTTTTTTAAAAGAAAGAAAAAATATAGAGAGAAAATAATAGGTTTTGTTAAAAAAAAAAACCATGAAACTAATGAATTTATTACCTATATTTTATGATGAGAAATGCATGATAAATCATACCATATGAAAGAGAGAATTTAAAGAATTTCCATCAATTTTAAAATATTAACTATTCACGTGAAATTCATTTAATTTCTCGTAATTAATAAAAATCATCAACTTTTTTGAAACCGTGCTCCGTAAATAAATAACTATATAAGAAGGGATTTCTTGAAATTTGATTGTCATTGTGCAAAAATAAATAAACAAATAAATAATATTTGAGTTTCGTATTATATTAATTAAAAGGAGCAAAATTACTTGAAAATTGAGTAAATTATAAATTGATCTCTATAGTTGAAAAACAAATTAATTAATTCTTTTTATTTTAAAAATTAATTATTTTATTATTTGATCAATATTGATTTTGCTTAATTTAATAATATTTTATTTTATTTATTTTATCAATATTTTCATAATATCTATTTTTTTTTAAAAAATATAAAATAAAAAAAGAGTAAAAAATGAAAAAAATAACTAAATAATTAGTTTTTAAAATAAAAATACTTAATTGAATCATTTTAAAAAACGAGAGGGATTAATTTATCATTAACTCTTAAGAAATCCATTCTTTCTAAAAAAGAAAAAAAATCCGTTGGTGCTTCGAAAAAAAAAAAAAAGGTTGGAGATTATCTTTCTTGATGATGAAATTGAAAGATCGAGTTAATCTGATCGAATAAGATTAGAACTCCAAAATCTTTCTCTCGCATGGAGTTCCGGGCTCGAGATTACAGTGCCGAAGCGGAAGTCCGCGCTCTCCCTCGCTCACCCACCGATCACCATCCTCTTTTATCTCCATCCTTATCTCTCCACAACCAGGTCCAACCTTCGAAATTCTCACACATCTCTTTTTTTTTTTTTTTCTTCTTTCCATATTAAATTTGTTTATTTTTTAATATAATTTTATTTTTCATATGAAGGCTTTTGTTAAAAAAAATGAAAATAACGATTTCTTTGACCCGCTAAGAGGAGTAGACGCCGAGGCTTCAACTAGTGTTGAAAAGGCTGCTATTAATATTAATAACAGTCCAGTTTCATCGAAGGAGTGGACTTCTTTCAAGAGATTCTTAATGCAAAAATTTCCTGTAACCAAAATGATTTCAATTGCTTCTTCTTCATCTGTAAGTTCATCTTTCTTTTTTTTTTTTTTTTAGAATAATTTGATTTTGTGCCCTGAAGTCATAATACTACTGACTGGAACATGATATATTTCCTACAGATGTCTGATGTGATCATTAAAAGTAGCACGGGTATGGTATCCTTCCTTTCTTTGATTCAGTTTTTGTTTTATTTATTTATTTTTTAATTTACGCCTTTGAACCAAATTTGATGCTCTTTCATTGTTATTATTATTCTCTTTCCTGTAACGTGTGGTTATTGTGTTGGATGTTGCCAAATTGCAGCATTGCGGAAATCTTCGGAAAGTACCCATTTACAGGAAGCGGATGATCCGCGAAGAATTTCTCAAGACGATGTCAAGGTCATTACTGGACAGGAATATGTCTCAAGATTACACGGGCTCAAAGATGAAATCAACCGTGCCTGGCATGCTGAAGATCGTGTAACAGCTTTGAAGTTAACTATAAAGGTTAATCTTTTGTAGGAAAACAAAGAAATTGTTTCTTCTTTAACTAATTGGATTTGAAAATTAGTTGTGCTGGCCAATGATCCATATATATTATCAGCCTGTGAACTAATGTAGTCACATTAGTCTTTAAGAAAGTGGCTTGAATTTGGTGTACAAACTTCAAGTCCAATTTAGGTACACCTGTTAGCAATTCACATGCTAGGAAAATTGCGAGTTGTACAACTGTTACTTCACAATAAAAAATTCTGCACCCTGGTGATTTGAGAATTGTATTTTGAATCTCGGTTGAACTTTTTCTTAACTTGATATCATTTGCCTGATGTGTAGGTTGCTAAGCTTTTGATGGATACATCAGTTCTACAGTTTTATCCTACAGCATTTGTACTTGCCACAGATGTAATGGACATGCTTGGAGATATGGTATGGAAACGTATCCAGCAAAAAGCTGAATTTTCAGAAGATGGAACCTTGCTGTGCTCTTTACCAGGTCTAAATCTCTTTATTTTGCCTCTATTTGTCTGTCTAGGTCACACTTGCATTTTCACTTGATGATGACAATCATGCAGCTGGATTTAATTCCTGTTGAGTATTAGATATATCAAGTTTGATATGCATGAACAAGTGGTTGAATACCAATTTAATTTTTTTTTTTGTAAGTTGAGTTATTGAGTACTGCCCGTTGAAGTTGCTCACATGGAAGATAATTTATTTAGGCCTATGTCTACTTGTTATAACAATTGATAAGCTCGATGTGAAGGTATCTTTTCTTGGACTGTTTGACATAATAACATATAAGCGTGCTTTTGTGACTATCTCTATAAGTGTGCACATCTATCTTTCTGGTATGCTTGTGATGTCAATGTGCTAAATGCAATTCCTGTTGATTTCATGATGGAATCATTGAAGATCCAACAGGGTTGTGTCATCATTAGATACTGTAGTTTACGATGCTTTGGAAAAAATTTAAACTTTTCTTAGAGTAAAAATGTGAAAAGAAATGCCATGACCTAGTCTCCATCCCACTGAATTGCTGTCTTGGCTCTTGGGTGGAATAATGCGATGAGAGTCTGGCCTTTCATATTTTTTGCATTAACTAACTCTTGAAACTTAACTTGCGCCTTTGTTGCTGCAAGCCAAAGATTGTACTATTCTCTCTTAAATTTGGACATGCAGAAATTCTTGATCATTTTCATTTCTTTCATTCCTTTTGAAGCATCTATATAATTTTTCCTGAAACTGCTGTTGGGTTTATTTGGCAGAGAATTTTAAAGCAAGTGATATTTGCTCTTATGCGAAAGAAACTTGCAATAACTGGTTTTGCAAAGTTGGTTCAATCCGAGAGCTACTTCCACGCATGTGAAGTTCCCTATCTTCTTATATTCTCCGTATTCTTAACCCTTGTATGGTTGAAATGATGCCAAGAATGTGAAGCAGTTTTTCCTCTCTTATTAGCTCTTTAATTGATAAGCTATCTGCATTGCTTTTTACTTTGTAGTTTTGGTTGTGTTCTGTGTGTTAATCTCATATGTTTTCCTTCATTTCGAAGAGTGTGGTATCTTGAAAAGGAAACTGTTCCTATGATGATGTCTTGGTCTAGTTCAATTATGATTCAGGTGCCGCATTTACTAGGAGTTTTGATAGATAGGATTTTAATTTCAAGCAGGAGTAACTTGGGCATGCTTCATAATGTTTTTAGTTTGAGATGATCACTATATGTTATACATGCCTTTTGCCTTGATAAAATATGCATTTTTTGAGATTATGTCTTGTTTTTGTGTTAGGCATTCAAAGTTGAAGTTAAAAAACCAAATCTGCAATTTTCTTGCAGAATTAATTGTAGATTTTTGCTATTCTCTGTTGGCCAGACCTTCTTTGTGCCTAACGGGCACCTATTTCCTTTTGATGGTTCAAAGGCAACAAGCAAATACCATAGCAAGATCTGTCCAACTGTCTTAACTGAGTACTTAGATATACTTAAAGAAGGTGGAAATCATTCCTAAAAAGGTTCCCATAAATTAAGACCAATGATCTGAACTGAGAAGTGCTAGCTGTGCTTGAAGCAACAGGCAGTTGATATTTGGTGTGCAGAAATATTTAAGATGGTCCTCATAAGAGGGTTCATGAGGGTTCCTTTGATAAAGTGAGTGGTGAGGTAGTGTTGTGTATTAATAATGGCATGCAAAAGCAAAAGTGTAGATGAATTTTCCTTCAAGCAGGGATTTGTGTCAAGTCTCAATTAGGGCATCGTCTTAAGTAGAATTACGTCAATTGAGCAATTGCATCAAGAGAGGAATTGCTCACAGCCTTCTCGTTTTTTGGAGGGCTTAAATTCATTGATTTCAACCAATTAATGAGATGTGAGCAATTCCAAAAAAGGAGAAGGGTGTGAGAAATTCTAGTTGAAGGAATCCCCTACTTGAGACTAGATGCAAATTCCTATATGAAGGAAAATCCATCTACAGTTTTCCTTATGCAAGTCATTTTTAGGACGCAACACTACCTCGCCACTCATTGTATCAAAGGATGCATTGTAAATTTCTCTATAGGCCTCACATAATTGCAGTCACATTTGGATCATCCCTGTTAATCAGGTTAACCATTTTTACTTTGCAAGAACAGATGCTGTGGGCTGTAAAATTGAATGGCGCTTGAAACTGTGATAGTTTTTGTTTTCTCTAATTAAGCTCAGTATAGGTTGACATCATGCTTAGGGGAGCTACTGGATGTTAATCCACATCGTTTCCTTTAATCTTAGTAATTTCTTTTTTTGATGTTCCAATTAGCAGTAATTTCTTTTCTCCATGTTCCTATTAGCTATTATTGGCTTCTATGTTTGGGTGTCTTGACTAAATTGATTAATGCTCAAGCCTTGTTGGTCAGTAACTTAAAATATTAAAGTTTTGTCAATAGTTAATGTAAGTTTGTTCTTATTTTTTTCCCTTCCTTTTGTTAATTTTTTCTTAATGATACTTGGGCAACTCTTGTGAGACTAAGATTTTATGCACCATCCATATTGTCATCCATTCGCATCCCATTCTCATGATAATAGTTTTTCACTCTTTAGTGGTTTGATAAATTTTTTTCATGTTTATGCTTTTTTGGTTTTCCTTTTAATATGGGCTCTTGTGTGCATCTTTCTCTTTCCTCGCTCACATGTTGTTTGTGGGGATTGTGGTTCAGTTATTTGGAGTTGGCTATATTGCCTTGCTGGCGTTTTCTGCTTGACCGACCTCTAGATAGTCTCCAGCGCCTGGTTATGATGGCAAGAGGGGTAGTTGATCCATTAGCATCTGCCTACTGCCGTTTGTACATGGCCCACTGTGCAAGGAAGTTGCCTTTGTCTGATATAGGTATATGTTTCTGCTTAATTTCAGAAGTGGCTTATTATCTTTCACATGGTATTCTCCGAGGATGAAATATTATTAGTTTTCAAGTTACTGAATGTGTGGTCTAGTGTTGTGGGTTTGGTACAAACTTTTTCGGGTTTGTGTTGTCAAGTTTTATTCAAAGTTGGATTAGTCCAGTTTGATTTGTGGTGAAGATCCAGATCAAATCTGAGTTTGATTTGTGTCCTGATATAAATATAGACTCTTACAATTCAGGTCCTATTAGATTATGTTCATTTTTATGTTTTATGCCAGAGTTTAGATTTGAAAATAGTGGGAGATAAAACTTGAGTGGAATAATTGGAATTTCATTAAAAATCAAGTTTGCTAAAAATTGCAAATCCCTCTATTTATAACATTATGCTCACAACATAGAATCCAAAGATTCAGCCCTTGTGATATTTTCAACTGCTCACATCTAAGAGCACCATCTAAAAATCATTTGTGAGACAGTACCAGTTGAGTTCTTTCTTTCCTATCATGACTTTTAGATTCAGTGTTTGTTTTCATTTTTCTTATAATAGCTTTTTTTGTTGCTAATCTATCCTAACTTATAAAGGGCATTTGTAAGTTTGTCTAAAATATTACAAACACCCATCCTTTCTTAGTCATACCCCTTGGCCCATAAAGGGATAAAAAAGAACTGGAGAAAAGAACAGACAAAGTTTGAATGGGGTCAAACAGATAGAGCTTATAATTGTTGTTTACTGATTGGAGATAGTTATTTTTGTGATTCTCTCTCTCTTTTTTCTTTTTTGTCCATTGGTGATTGGATGGGGCAATTGTTTGATGGAGGAAAAGAGAAGTGAACATGACACCAATAAGGATGAATATGCCAGCATCTGCAGTGTGCATTTAGAATTTGTGCTTTTTGTTGCTCATGAATAGAAAGACTATCACTTCCCCTACAAGCAGGTCTGATACTGGGTCTGTTTTGGAGAACTTTTGTGTTGTGTTTCATTTTGAGTTGACTCCCAGTCTTCACCAGTACACCTGCTGAATAGATTAAACGACAATACACTGTCATTTTGTATTTGATAATGGAAACTTACACTGGATTGTGTTAATTTTACTGTAGCAGGGCACCTGATTACCTGTGTTAATGACATCGAAATTCTGTTGATGCGTCATTTATCAGTAAAGGAAACCCTGCATGGACTTTTTGCTGGCAAGAAAAGTTTGCTTCTCAGTCTGATGGAACCAACTATTGACTATATTATGAAATGCATATTTGAGAATTCATCACAGTCTCAGGTCAGTATTTGATTTCTTTTGTAATTGTGGTTGCAGCAGTACTCGTAATTTCCGTTGTCGAAATCTCATCACAGGTCTTGCAGGGAAGAAAACTAACAATCATCTATGTCAAAGTAAAGCATCAGAACCATGTGCTTTCACTTGACAAAGTTTCATTAATGTTTATTTTGTTCTGAACTCTACAAGTAAAAGGAGAGCACAATCCAACAATTTAGCATTTGGGCTTTGCAGAACTTGTTCTGGCTTTTTTTAATTATGATTGCAATGGAGACACAACTATCTATGTGCTCCTTAGTAACACTGTTGTATCTCATCGCAAATTGCTGCTGTAAGATGAATTAGCTGTGCCTTGTGTGTAGTATTGTAGTACTGACTGACTTATTTCTATTGAAAAAGACAGGTAGATTCTGTACTGTTGGAGTTAGGACTGGGAAGCAATCCAGATTTATTTGGGAGTTCTCCTTGTGTCTCGCTTGTTCTTCACCATCTGCTGAAAGAACTTCCAACAGAAGTAGTCAGGTCCAATTTTGTGGGTATCCTTCATCTGATTGAGTGCAGCGAAGATTATTCTTTCGATCAGGTATTGCCCATGTCGTGCACGCTCACACACACATGCTATAGGTATTTGCATACTTGCCATAAATGCAAGGAGTTCCTAATCTTGCCTTTTTAGTTTTTCTATCAAAATTTAATTTCATGTTTAAGTTATTTGTCTTATTTTTTGGTTGGCCCAGTGCTTGAATTACAGGTTACTTGGATTCCGGCTCTGTGAAAGTAGATCCAGACCGGACATTGTCTACTCAGTTGTGGATAAAGTTATTCAGGTCCTTGGAACTTTATATTCCTGTTTGATTGTCTTTCAAAATTTCATCAATCATTTTACTTTTATGCCTAATGTGTATGTGGTACACTTGTATATGCATGAGATAATTTTGTCCCCCTTAAATTATGGGTATGCCACAAATTGGTTTAATAGAATTTGAGTGTAGAAGAAGGGGAGGTTGCCCCATTGTAGACGTGGAATATTTCCTGCAAATCCTCTCTCCCATCATGCCCAATCCCCTATTCCTTTTCCTTTCTGTCTGGTCCATTGTATTTGGAAAGTGAAGGAACCCTTCAAGGTTAATGCTTTTTATTTGGACAATGGTTCTTAGTAAAGTCAATACTAACAATTTTTTGCAGGTAAGGGGACCTCATAAGACATCATAACTTGCTGTTTGTTTGATGGATCATAATATTGATGAGATGCATCACAGCCTTCTTTTCATATATTGGATTGTGGCCAGGATATGCGGAATAGGTCTTTTGGTATGAGTGCTTAGAATGGGACAAAACCCCAAGTAAGGTGGGAGAGTTGTTTTTGAAGTCGCTTGCTTTTTAGAGAGCTTCTTCAAGGACTTCTGGCTTATAATTTATTTCCAGGAAGTTCTTGCAGGAATAGTGTGTTCCTCTTAGGCTGGCCTATCATTGGTTGTCATGGTCTGTTCTTCTGTGCAGTTGTTGAAGTTCTTTTAGAGCGCAGTGGAAATGAACTTTAGAAGCCATAGAACTGTCAGAGGCAGGTGCTAGACTTGCTAGATAAATAAACACTTAGATATTTTGATGCTAAGAACCAAACAATACAAATTAGCAACTCAATCACCCGTATGCCAATAATCCTTTTTTTTACCATATAAATGACTGAAATGTATACAAATTTAAATGTCTTACCTCCTTTTTAAATAGTTGTGTGAGCTACCTTTCCAATATGCTAGAGAATCTCTGAGTCTTCTGGTCTGTTAATCCATGTTTGGTTATTATAAAGGGGCATTTGGTAGGATTTTTCTATTCCCTTCTTAGTTCTGTGTTCATTTGTATTGCTTTTGGTTGCAATTTTCTTGTTGAGCCATACATTTGCCAGAAGGCCTGATGGCAGTCGAGGCATAAGTACCTGTATCTAATTGGAAAGGTAAAGTTTGGCTATTAGGTCGATGCAGAATGCTGCAGACCTGGTGGCAAATCATGATACCATTTTTTATGCTGCTGATATTATTGCAATTTTAGTCGACATTTAGCTCTTTAGAAGAGCGTTCTTTGATTTATTTTTTATTTTTATTTTTTTCTTAAGCTACTCTCAACATGTCTATTAATTCCAGGCAGTTGCTCAATATGATAGACTTGATCGGTACTTGAGGGTAGTTGATGCTTATATTGACATTGTTCTTCAAAATCAGATGGTAAGTTTGGATGACTTGTGGCAGTGGCTTCTTTTGGTCTTGTTTGTCTGAATATCTCCTGAAACGGTTCTTGTGCTTGCTGTTTGGTCGCTTCCATTCCTAGACCCTCTTCCCCCCAAATTTTGTTCTGATGATAGCTTGCTGAAATGCATTTCTTGACTGTGACCACTTCTTCCTGCACCTTACAGAGTGGTTCTTGCTTTTTGGCTGTTCATTTACAAGTCTACCGTTATTAGATTAATTGCACTGTTACCGTGACCTTTTTGGTTCTCCCGTCAATTGTAAATGACCCATCATGTAAAAGTTAATACAAACCAATGCTATGCTGAGAAGCTTAAGAATTTAAAGCACATTTTTTTAAGGAGCATGTGCAGAGATTGTGAGTCTAGAGGCATTCTCTTTCGTTTGTTTATAAATTACACACACTATCCTTCAGTTCTGAAAGGATAATAGAATAGAAAACCATGTTGCTTTCACTTTAATCATTGCTAATAAATAAATGCTACCAAGTCAATGCTTTCCTAATTTGTGCCTCTTTTATGCTGTATTGTTTGGCACTCGACTGTGCATTTGCTAATGTAGTTATCTTTTATCTGAAAACAATGATTATGCCAGGATAGTCATTTGAAAACCATTTTAGAGGGTATTTCAAAGCTAGCATGCCATAAAGAAATACATGAAGATGAACTCGAAAGCTTGAAGTCAATTTTGATGAAGCTTCTTTCTCATTTCACAGACTTGCACAATGTACTAGCTCTGGTAAGATAGAGCGCAGAATCCACTACATCCCCCTTCCCCCTTCTCGTTGTTATCAATTGCTTGTAAAGCATGCACATGCTGAGAAAGTAAATGGTTTTTAGTTACATGCCCCAATGAAATTTGATTGAGCCACTAAATAAGCTATTGGTTGTGATCAATTTCTGCAGGACCATTTTCTAGAAATCTTAGATGTAATGTATGGGAACCCTAGGAGTACCATCAACATGCATATCCTTAGTATGGTGACAAGGTAACTCTCATTACTTATGAATGTCATCCTGGTAAATCTAATGCTGTGTTTACTTTCTTACTAGTTTCTGTCTTCATTGCATTGATGCCATTCATTTTAAAATATCTGCCATTCTATAGGAAGATTTTAGCAGTCAACCTTTGTTGGTGCTTACCATTAAGGGCTTATTAAGCACTGCAGCAACCAAGTATGTCACACCTGGGTAGTTAGGTGATACATTGTATGGATACAGGCACTTGGTGTGCACTTCTGTTAGATATGTAGCACATTGAAAATATCATTGGGGGTTCTAAGAGAGTTGCGTTAATCACAAACATTGTGACATTATGATTTCATGGAACTTTCAGAATTTTGAAAGTCATTGCATTCATTGAACCACCTCTTGCTTCTTCTTTTTAAAGGAACCAACGTTTTCTAAGGTTTCAAAACATCTAAATTTTCTTGGTCTTACAGGAGGGAAAGAAACAAACTGGTGAACCATTGCTTAGTTTAGTAATCTTGATTAAAACACGAAATACTCAATCTTAGAATATACAGCAAAAAAATACAGTATGTCACCTGCAAAATTCAGTGAATTCCAGCCTTGTAGATAATTATATAAAAATTACATGATGTAGCAGAAATTCGTGGATTCAGTTGTGATATCTACTTTTTTCCTAATCTTCTATATGTTTTTTTCCCTGATTATCATTGTGCAATTTTGAAGAACTTTTTATCAATTCTTATTGCAGTTGTGATTATATCTTGTGCAGGACTGGTTACTTGCATGATCTGTCAACCATACAGTTGCTTTTTGAAATTTCTCAGTCTCTACATGATGCTATAGATTTTGCAAGTATGAAAGATGATGAATACCAACAGTCACTATGGCTGATTTCTCGCTTTGTTGAGATGGTAGCTAATTTCAACTAGCTGTATACATGTTTCCCTATGTTTTATGATGTGTAAGGAACAAGCAATCTCCACCTATCACTAGATCGGTTGACGATTGTTGTTGCTTTTGACTATAGGTTGACTTTGGAGCAGAGATGGAACAGCATTTGACGTTTTTAGTTGAATGCCGTGGAGCTTTCGGTATCATAAATGAACTTAAGGTCTGAGCTCCTTTTAAATGAAATGTATAGAAACAGAGCCCCCTTTTTTCCGCCTCAGTTTACAAGTTTTCTAATACTGGCATATCCTGCAGTATGATTACACTTGTTAAATGTTATACAATTTTCTGCTGGTATGCTGTTATCTGCTTTTGAAGTTAAGCTCATCTCAAGTTATCGGCATTTGCATATAGTTTTGCAATATGCATTTGATAGGGTTTCTATTGATCGTGCTGTCCAATCATGAATACAATAGTTAGTTAACTCGCTCAAAATGGAGAACCTCTTGTAGATTAGTGAATCTTACTTCTATGTACAAAATTATTGAACCCTGTTATATGCGGTCAAGACCCAATGTGTTTGGCATCCTTTGTTAGCTGAGGTATCTTCTTGTTCCAGAACTTTTTCTGCTGGTATGCTCTTAGATGCTTTTGAAGTTAAGCTCATCTCAAGTTATCAGTGTTTGTATTATGTTTAGGAAGATGCTTTTGATAGGGTTTCTGTTGATTATGCTGTCCAAAAATGAATATAGTAGGTAGTTAACCCGCTCACAATGGAAGACTTCTTGTATATAAGTAGGGAATCTTACTTCTATGCACAAATTGTTGAACCCTATTATATGCGGTCAAGAGGAGGGCTAAAATGTGTTTGGTATCCTTTGTTAGCTGAGGTATTTTCTTGTTGCAGTAGAACTTTGTATGTACAATATTAGAAGGGAAAGGAGAATAAAAAGAAACAAAGCTTTTTAGATATATTTGCCATATAGAGGCATTGTTTTAGAAAACAGTCATTATGTTATGTAACAGCTGCTATTTAGCATAACATCAGCATCCATTTTTTGTTATTCGCTGTTATCATATTGCTAATGGCATTTTGTAGCCAAAACTAACAGTAGTGTGGGAATAGAAATGAACTCAAAACAGTTAATATGATGGCTACAACTAGAAAAAAATTAAAATTGGAACTAAAAAAATAGGTTTAGGGTTTGTAGGCAACCTCTTAAGCGTAAATTGATTGATAAAAAATATAAAACTTGTCTGAAAAATAGCATAAACCCTATGTATTGTTACTAATAGTTGTCCTAATCCTAGGTCATGCAATTTTTAAGTTAATTTGTTCTATTATTATCTTTAAGTTTTAACTATGTTTAATTTCCATGATGATTCTTAAGAGGATGAATATTTATGACATACATTTAAGTTATTATGTATTGTTTGTATGATATATCTACCTACTAGAAGTGTTATTATTGTGTTTATCTAGTGAGTTATTAGAAAAATATGCATTATGAAAGGATTTGATAAGACTTGCTAGTGATTCGCAACAGCGATGACACCACCTTATATTACATGATGAAAGCCCACGATCCACGACCATAACAATGATTTGAAACCATGTATGGAGAAGAAAGTGAGGAGATTTTAGTTATTGGGGGTGGAGGAAGGAGGGGAAAGCAAAGACTAGAGAGGAGTTGTATGAGGATTATACATCAATACTAAGTGGCAGTGGATTATTTGATGTTAAAGTGCAGTGGAAATGTCCAAGTCCCCATTGACATTCAAACTTATTCATCATGATAGCTGTGTTATAGACATTTTTCACAATGCAACAATTAATGAAATTGAAGTCACTGACAATTGACCTAGCTAGAAAGGAAACTAATTGAAGTAGATTAGATATCTCTGTGTGTTTAATATGTTGGTCTTTTTTAATGAGATTTTCATATACTATCTTTACACCACCAGTTTCGATTCATAGATTGAAGATGACATTGACAGTGGAAGTACCCTGGAAACCTGTTTGTTCTGAAATAAGAGGTTTAGTCACTCTGTTGAACTCTTCATCCAGCACTTGAAATTTTCTTGCAGGAGACTCTAATCCATTCAAGCAATTGTTTGGCTATCAAAGCTTTGAAAGATGGAAGAAAGAACCTTACCTTTGTCAAATCTTGCATGGCATTTAGTGAGGTCACAACACCTTCTGTTTTAGCACAAGTTGTGCAGTTTAATCTTTATATTGAAACTGCTGAGGTAATGTACTTTCCTTTGATATGATTATCTGGTTCTGCAAGTGAACCACATATGTACGCCATATTCATTTTGATATCTCAGGTTGCTTTATTAGGTGGTTTAGTTTCTCATTCAGATGGCCTGGTGTTTTCTGCAATAAGGTGCCTAGAATGTTTTGACTTGACAGATGGTTAGTTGATCATTTCTTACTAGTGAAGCACTTGACTCCTGTTCTTGACCATGCAATTTGTTTGATGCTTGCTATTTTAATTTCAAGAAAAATGTAAAATCTCTGGTTGCGAACTACATAAATCATTATACCCTATCCTATCCATTTATTGGTAATAATTTCTGTTGTAATGACAGCCTAGGCAATGTAAAATCTCTGGTTGTGAACTTAAATCATGATGTATGGTGCCAACTGATCCCTTTCTAAGATAATTGCTATATTTAATCAGAGGCTACATTCTTGGTTTTTATTTTCCAAAACACCAGATGCTAGTCCTGGACTTTGAATGGATGATGATGAGTGAATCCCATATTCAAAATTGACATCTAATTTTAGTTGATGCATTTTCTTATGTTTTCAAATTCATAAATCAAAGCGCTAACATTGGGATATGAATCAATGCAACTGTCAGAGAAGTAACATTGTCCACTTATCTATCCATCTCATTTTCGCAATGGACATGTAAAGTTACTGGAAGCATCTTCTTCTGTTTTCAAGTTAAAAATTGAGTAGCTAGTATTGGATAGAAATTAAAGTAAATGTCGCAGCACTAACATTGTCTACTTGAAATGACAAACCATGACAGTGACTGTGTAAGGAGCAAAATGAAGAAATGATTCTGATTTGCATTTTTTTTTTTTTGGGGCAGAGGAATTGCTGCATGTGACAATCTTTTTCGGAAAATTAAATTTTAAGCGCCATGCTATAACATCAGACACTTATTTTGATGTGATAAACATTTCTTTAAATATAACACAGTTGGTGGGTTTCATGATCAGTTGTCTCAGCATATGAATAGAGGGACATTTAGAGATACCTCTCTCAATCTTGTACATTTGATTTCTAGGCTTCCTTATTTGGTGTTTTGAAGTCTTTATGATGTAGGACAGGGTAGTTGAAAGACTAGACAGATGCAGAATTCCCTATAGGAGAGCAAGAAGAAAGAAACCCTAGAGAAGAGGACACTATAGGATTCATTATCAACATTTTTGTTGTCTTGTACAAAAGATATGGTGTTTATATAGACACCAAGAAATCCTAGGAACTTAAACTAAGTAGGAAATACGAATCCTAATAAAGTATCACCCTTTAATAATAATAATAATAACAAAATCCTAAAAACTACCTAAATGATAATAAAATTCTAAACGTACATAAATACTAACAAAGAAGTTAAGTTTCTTGTTCCTATGTTGCATCACTTTACCCTTTAATAATAATAATAATAATAATAACAAAAATCCTAAATGTCTACTTAAATAATAATAAAATTCTAAACGTATATAAATACTAACAAAGAAGTAAAGTTCCTTGCTCCTAGGTTGCATCACTTAACCTTTCAACATGGAAGTTGATATCATATTTCCTTGTGGATAAAGTTGATGCATGCATAGAAAAAAAGACTGGCTTCTATCTTTAATCTACTTACTACTCTTGCCCTTGACATGGAAAGTTTGTAATACAGTTTGAAATTGGGCCTAATTTGAACAGTAGATGTGATATGTCTTGGTCTATGATATTTATACATGCATGATGTGATCAGTCCAATATGTGAGACATATCTTGCAATATCAAATGCGATTTTACTTGATGAGTGATATAATATTCTGATCTTTATTGTTAGCCAAATTGGCTTTTACCCTTGTGTAGGCTCCAGAACTTTAATTGATGCTGGCGGAATACTCTCATCCATTCGAAAATTATGTAGCCTCTTGGTTATGTTTCCAGGTCTCTGAAAACCTTTTTATCAGTGTTTTCATCTCTCATGTTACTAAAAAATTTCAGCTCAAATGGTGTATTGATTTCATTACCTTTCTTTGGGATGTCTTCTGAATGATCCTTTTGTTTTTCCAAAATGACATCTTTAAATATAGATAAGTATTCTTTTCTACAAACCCTTAGATAGGATAATGAAGATTTGAGAAAACTGTGTTGCAACCAACTTTCATTGTAACAAGGTAAGAATTTACATTAGTTCATTTTGTGGAAAGCTCTTCTTTTTGTGTTAACTGCTTATTAGATAGCCCAGAATCTGGTTAGTTATTATGATTTTCCGCTTAATATTACCAATATTTTACTTGGGTTTTAGTGAAAATTCAAACAGAAGTTTTGAACAATACAGAAATTGTAAAACCAAGCCTGGTGCTGAATGAGTTTATCTTGGAACGAGAATAGTTTAGCACCTCAAGAAAATGAATGAAAATAATCTTTCTGTTACTTCCTGTCAAGTTGTCATGTATAAGATTTATGTTCTGCAGAGTGACAGTTCTTTTAACTGTTCTTTTTTAATTATTTTTCTCTTTTATTTCCCCTCATTTGAAGGTAATCCTGACCAAGGCATTACAAGATTTCCAAGTAACATTATCTCTCTCATTTATTCTAAGTCATGGTAAAACTTGTCTATCACTGCTTCAGTATTCAAATTTATCAATTTAATTTTAAAAACCTTATATTTGTGAAATGTTAATGTAGGATGACTCCAGTAATGAAGACGAGGTTATTTTGTGCGATAATTTTGTTCTTGGCAGCAGTTTCTCAGAATAAGCTCCCATACCATGCATACTGTTCAGAGGTACTTCTACATCTCTTCTAATTAAAGGTTTCAGGTTCAAGTTTTAAGAAATTTCGAAATGCTCCTTTTTCTTGCTATCCTTTTTTTTTTTTTTTTGGGTGGGTGGGGTAGTAACTAAACATTATTTCTTTGTATCACCATCAGGTTTTATTTTATATACATCTTTTGGTGATTAGTTAACTGTAGTAAACTAAAAACAATGTGATATGAGTTGGAATATTATAAATGAAAATTGAATATGGCCTATCATTAGATATATTCTGATAATGCTAGCATCATTCTCGCTTGCATTTGATTAAGCATGAAGTGAGACATTTCATGGATGACCATTTTGAAGAAACCCCCAGCAGCTGCAAAGTAGCAGTATTTTTGTTCATGCTAGCTACCTATGGTATGTCGCGTGCTGAGTTCCTTGCAACAATCCAAGTCCAATGTTGCATGCACCATACAATTGCTTTGACAAGTTGGGTTTACATCAGATGGTACAATATTTTTTTATGTTTGATTTATTCAGGTTAGGGGCAATGACTTGTTATTCTTTGGTGATCTATCCTACGTACATGAAATTGTGGCATTGTCTGAGTGTGTTCTTCAGAATCTCACTAGTTTCATTGAACAAGAGCCACTGGAGGTAATTATGCTTTCATTAAATGAGTCGTTACGGCAGTAATTGGGCATGTTTCTCATGTGCTTATGTGATATACTCTAATTAAGGCTGCTCGTGGAAGCATGGCACTTGAAGCTTGCAACTGTATAGCATCTTCTTTCAAAGTATGTTTCTCAGACATCTTCTGATGACTTAATTTTAGTATAATAGTTTGATCTTGAAATACAGAAGTTGCATGATCGATCTATATCAGAGAGAGAGAGAGAGAGGCATATGCACCTGTGGATGCATCAAACCTGCCATGCCAATGACCTAATCATCATGCCAGTTGAACCCTTTAGGGCGAGCTAAAATTTCTCTCCGGTAGCCTGTTGAGCTACTGGCAGAAAAAGGGTCTTTGCTTTCCATCTCTTGCAATTTGAAAAATTGATGCCTTAACTATTAAACATGCTGTTGGACCTCTCCTCTTTTGCTTTGTTCTGTGCAGTTATGTGAGGATATATTAGAAGTTTGCTGGAAGCTGATTGAAACTGCTAGGTTATGTCTTCGTGCTGATGACAAGTACTTGCAGTCCACCGTCAAATATTTAAACGAGCAGCTGCCAACTTCTAGAATGGTGCCATCCTGTAGCAGTCTGATATCTGCATAACACTGGAAGTGCTAAATGGTTGATTTTGGAATTGTGCATTTATATTCTCTGGGCAGTTATGTTTCGCTTTAGAGATGGAATGGATAATTTATGAGGACTGTTAGCTGCCTTTGCTAGGGCAGTCGTCCAATTACTTTCGCTGCCTATAACGGACAGGTTTCCAACTTTATGAGAAATTTAATGTATAAAAAATATGGAAAAAAAAAAAAAAAAACAAAGTGATATCCTCAACCATGCTTCAAGCAGTTTTTGTTATAATGAAACTACTCTAATTCTATGTAATAGCAACGAAACAAGAAAGAAAGAGGATAATCATTTTGTTGCTCCCATTTTAGTCTCTTGAACTTGAACCCTTTCTTTCTTGCTACCGTATTTGGAGGGGGTCATACCAGGGTATTAGTGGCGGCGACTTTTTGGTGGATGATCTCTAGTGATTACTAGCGGATTCTCATGCCATGCTGGGTCGTGCATAATAAACTTATTTTCAAATTTCAATTTGTTTTATTTAGTTAATTATTTTTTTCATATATTTTTTACTAAAAGAAACATGATTTTTGATGCATTGATTCTTAAATAAAAATTTATAATAATTTAAATAAAAATATTAATAAAGAATTAAAAAAAACTCTAAAAATATATTTTTCATAAGAATGCATTTAAAAATTAAAATTACATTATAATAATTAAAAAATATTTTTTTAATACCGATGAGAAGATTATTTTTGTTAAAAAATTAATGCGTTTGGCTTTTTTTTTTTTTTTTTTTTAAATTCTTAATTAGAAACTTGTCTTTTCAAAATCATTTAGAAATTGCATTTGGTAGAAAAACTAAAAAGCCATGTAGTGTGGGAATGTAGAATTGCGATGTTAATATATATTGGTTTGAATTTAACAAAGATTGTGTGTACTTAATGGTCATTGTTAGTGTAGCTATCCAATATTCAATTTTTTTGAATGATTTGATTTATTGTATCATTGTATTTTAAATATTAGTAAAGAATTTTTATTTTATTTTATTAATTTGTATTATTTATAATTTGATAGAATTAGATAGAAGCTCATATGATATGTATTGCATTAAAAATTATTCAATAAATGTGAGAAAAACATCATTACATTTAAATGATATAATTAAATGTCTCAAGTCATAGCATTGTTAAGATTGGATATTGTTAATATGCAGTAAGACTTGTGAGTGTTATGTTCTTGTTATAAGATAGCAGTTAGATCTCACACTTACTAGCATGATGATGCCAAAAGAAGCACTTCGGTTAATAATATTAAAGAATATATCACTTGGATGTGACTTGTCATGAGAATCCATTTGGTATTGTTTATGAGAATCCATTTGGTATTGTTCATGAGAATCTCATATGAGATGAGTATAAGTAGTCCTTTGACTTGAAGTTATCACGGTTATCTTATTAGAGGTTTGGTGTACTTTGATATTCGTTTTGATGGAATCGGTAAGGAGTTGTATATGGACGATTCATTGAGTGCATTATGAATCTAATGGAGATAGGTGAATGATCGAGATAGGACATGTCATTCCTTATATGCTAAAGGAGTTATGACATTGCACTTTGATGAATATCTCGTTTAAAAATTTGTGACCACGGTGGAAGTATACCAATAAAGCATAGTATGTTTATTTGAGAGTTAGACATTTAGAGATTAAATAAAACTTATGTAATCATAATCGAACGGACTATGAACCAAGTTTGAGGCTATACCATGATAAATTAATATGAGGATTGAATTGTATGACAACCATACTCGTGAAAGATAATTACGGATTAATTAATTCTTTTAGAGAATCGGTTAGTCTTGATACCTTACTAGAGGTCAATCTTGATTTATGTATCAAGAGATAAAAATGTGTCTTTTATCTTCTTGATGCATTGCTAATATATCTAGAAGCCTATTGAGTCACACGTATAAGTTTAAATATTCATGCGAAAAAAAGAGCAAACATTTTGAAAAAAAAGTTTAAATATTCATGCGAAAAAAAGAGCAAACGTTTTGAAAAAAGTTTACTATTTTGGAAATCGACTTCCAAATTTAGAAGACAATTATTTAAAATAAAAGTCAGTTTTCTAATTTAGCTTTAAGGGGAACTTGAGAATTGTTTCCTAATATAGGCCTCCTTAAAAATATTTAAACCAATTTATTTGGATGATCCAAATTAATTGAAAAATAATTAGGCCAATATGCTTAAGTTAAAGCTTCCAATATATTTTTGGTTGATGGATAATCTTGAGCACTAAAAGATAAGGTTCAAGTTTTGTGTTGATAAGGTCGGATTAAGCCTACAAAAATTGCAACTCTTTATCCTAGAAGGACTTATTTGTTGTGCGTGTGTGTGCATATATATGTATGTATGTATGTATGTATGTATGTATGTATGTATGTATAGGAGAGAGAGACGCGAGAAGAGCATAACGACAATTAATCTAAGAGTTAGAAAAATTATGAGCATATCTCTTTCAAAAATTAACAAACCCGCAAACCCTTTCTTAGAAAATATAGTGTGCCAAACCCTAAGATGTAATTTTTGGAAGAAAAAGAGAGCTAGCACTTTATAATTTCTACTCGCTTCTTGTGTGGGTGTTTAAGTTGCATGGATCATCGACAGAGACCGTACGTTTTGACAATTCTTTTCGTAAATTGATTTTTGTGCTATAAGAGATAATTCCTTATCATCTTATTGCTAATATAGTTAGTTGATTCAATAGTTGATCTTAAGAACTTTAGATGAAGGAGAACAAATATTTTGTTTATTCCGCACCTTCACAAGATGTATGATCCTTCAACAAGTATTAGAACCCCGTTGAATTTTTAATTGTATTGATGCTAATTTAGATTAACTATAACAATTGTTGTTTCATGTTTATAAATTTTATGATTTTGGTATTTTCTAATAATTTAAAATTTGATTTTGGAAAGTGGAAGGGTGCGCCAAGTTAGGCTAGGTGTGCCTCGCACACATAAGGTCGACCCTTACCGGACATTCGAGGGTGTGCGTTAGGCCGGAGGGCTTCAGCCCAATGTTAGGCATTAGCTGGAGGCTCGCAAGGCCATTGCTCGAGCACTTGCTAGCAGCTTATACGAGGCGGTGTTGGACACTCGCAGTAGCTATTGTAGAGGCTAACCCGTAGGCCTCCAAGGCCAAAAATCCTATGGGCTAAGGGCCAAAAGTCCAAAAAATTAAGGCACCGGTCGGCAAGAGTCGAGCTAGCTCGTAGGCCTATAAGGCCTAAAAGTCTAAAAAAATTAAAATTTAGAGAAATTTTTAATATTTTTATAAAATAACTAAAATAAAAAATTTATAATTATAATAAAAATAAAATGTTTTTTTATTTGATTATATGCTAGGTATAAATGTGATTGAAGCATGAGTGAATGATATAAATGAGTCGATCTAGTTTTTGAAAATGCATGTTTGCATTTTTTTTGGTTAAATAAGGCCCGCATTTCTTACCTTCTCTCTTATTCCAATGCATTTCTCTTCTTATCTTACTCACCTCAAATGTAACTTCGGGTTTCTTATTCAAAAAAATTATAAAAGTAGAAGACAAATTAGAGGAATAGGTACAAGGAGAACGAGCAAAGAGAAGAAGACATTCTAAAAGAAGAAAATGTAATAATTTTTCACCTAGGTTATGATCCACTAGTCTCCCCGTGGCTCAAGGGGATTAGTAGTAAAAAACTATTACCATTCATCGGCCCTTAAGTTAAGTATGAGATGGATGTGATTGAACTCTAATGTGCATGATTGTGATGCGATTGAATTCTAATATGCCCGATAGTAATCTAATTGAACTATAGTATGCATGTTAGCATTAAATTGATGAGACCATACAATATACAATCCTTGAAACAAGTATCAAGTTATATGCATTTCAATGTTATGAGAAGAGAACTCTCTTGGTTGTTGTTAACTTAATGAAATAACTCAAGGTCACTTTTTCCTCGAGAGAATCAAATCATGGGCCATGCGATGTCTTTGAACATTTAGGTCCAACTTGAAATGAATTCTTAGATTTGTTGAGATGACTCAAGGTCCAATGAATTTATAGGTAAAGATTGATGTTTACATAACAAGTGAGATGACAAGAAGTTATAATATTAATGAGATTAGAAATTACATTGGATGCAAATGGTGAGTTACCTATATAATCCTTCTATGTATGACTTGTTGAGATGACTTAAGATTAATGCATGTTTGTAAATGTGATCCTAACCCACTAAGGAAAAAAAATTATAAAGTTTTCTCGAGTCCTATATTAAAGGTTATAGAACTTAAAAAAATAATGAGAGCGAAAATAAATTTTACTTCTTAATTTATGCTTTGTTTATTAATGCAAATCAATTAACCAAATTGTATGCTTTTCTATGATGTCAAGGTTGTTGTATAGTATGACTGACAATACATCGATACGATTGATAATTAATGAAGGTAATGCCTTAAATGGAATAAACTTTCTTGACTTGGAAATGAATTTGAGGAATGTCCTCCAATATGGAAAAATACTCTATACGATAGAGGAATAAGAATACCTAAATGAGGTACAAAAGAAGAGTTTTAATAACACCTTAGGTATTTATGTTATTAAAGTTAATTTTTCTACTTCTAGTTCCACCTCATGAGTATTTGATATTGGATGTGGTGCTCAAATTTATACAAAGTTGCAAGGGCTTAGAGAATCAAGGAAGATTGCTTTTAGGGAGGTTGACCTACATGTTGGCAATGAATTAAGAGTTGTATCATTGGTCGTATGCACCAATGAGTTAGAATTGCCATATGGCCTTATGCTTACACTCATAAACTATTATTACATTCCTACTATAATTAGGAATATTATTTTCATTTCTTGTTTAGATCAAGATGATTTTTCTTTTTTATTTAAGAATAAAATTTGTTCTTTTTATAAAGATGATGTTTTATATGGAATTGCATTAATTAATAATGGTTTGTATGTTTTGAACATAGACACATC